ACACACACACACACACACACACACACACACACACCCAGGGTGTTTGTCAAACTGTCAGGGCCAGGATTTGAACTGCAAGTTTGGCCATGTGGGAGTCACTTTCCCCAGTTCCCAGACCATGGAGCCAGCCCAACCTCTTTTCATCTTCCAACAGTCTTTCTGGTTAGGTATTTTGTTATTCCCACTTTGCATATTAGCAAACTAATGTGTCTGGTTCCAGAGCCTTTTCTCTTTCCACTGCACTATGTAAAACAAACATTAGTGGGCTCTGTCAAAATTCAGTTAAATTCATTTGGGGAAAACAATGATTCCCTCCTGGCATGATTTATAAAAGACACAGGCTCTGAGGCTACTCCTGGAGGCAGCTAGGACAAGGTTGGGGAGCGCTGAGCCGTGCCTTGTGCCCTGCCCTGCCCAGATTTGTAAACAATACAGTCAGGATGGCTAAAGGTGACCCCAAGAAACCAAAGGGCAAGATATCTGCTTATGCCTTCCTTGTGCAGACTTGCAGAAAAGAACATAAGGAAAACCCAGGGGTCCCTGTCAAATTTGCAGAATTTTTTACAAAGTGCTCCAAGTGGTGAAAGACAATGTCTGGGAAACAGACGTCAAAATCTGATGAAATGGAAAAAGCGGATAAAGTATGCTATGATTGGGAAATGAAGGATTATGGATTGGCTAAGGTTGGCAAGAAGGAAAAGGACCTTAATGCCCTTAAAAGGCCACTGTCTGGATTCTTCCTGTTCTGTTCAGAATTTCACCCCAAGATCAAACCCACCAACCCTCGCATCTCTGTTGGAGACGTGGCAAAGAAGCCGGGTGAGATGTGGGACAACTTGAGTGACGGCGAGAAGGAACCTGACATCGCCGGGGCCGCAGACCTGAAGTACGAGAAGGATGTTGCCGACTATGTCTAAAGGCAAGTTTGATGGAGCAAAGGGTCCTGCCAAAGTTGCTCAGAAAAAGGTGGAAGAGGAAGAAGACGAGGGGGAGGACGATGAATAAAAAACTGTTGATCTGTGAATTATTCTCCTGAATAGCTCAGTGTAGGGAGGGCCATAATCACACCTCTCTTAGTGGAGGGGTGTCTGTTGCCTTCATTACGTCTAACTGCAGAATTTGATCATGATCATGTCGTCTCTCAAAGTGCCCTAGAAATGGTCAGTGGTTTACATGAAGTGGTCGTGGGTGTCCAGCGCACCCTGAAACTGTAACAAAGTTGTACATATTTCTAAACATTTTTAAAATGAAAAGATGCTTGAGTGTTCTCTGTGCACTTTGCTGTTGGTGTGACAAGGCATTTAAAGATGTTCCTGACATTTTTTTTTTTTAATTTGTAAGGTGGTGTTAACTATGTGGCTATTGGCTAGAAATCCTGAGTTATCAACTGTCTCTGTCTCTGTCTACATAGCTCTGGTCTGTAAAGACAACAGAACAACCGCGACAATTTCTTCATGCTCCTTGCTTGGAGGTTGCGGGGAAGGCAACCGTTGGAGGGGCCATGGCTCGGGGTGTGCATGGGGGAGTTGGACCTGTTCACTCTGCGGTGGCCTCTGTGTTAGCGTCAGGGTGTCTTGTTTTGTACATAAAGACCTACGGTTCTGCTGCCAAAAAAAAAAAAAAAAAACACGTTTCGCAACGTTCTGTTATTTTTTGTATATTTATAAGGCTGAAATATTTTTGAGGTTAATTAAACAGCATTATATTTTTTAAAAATAAAAAATGATACATTTTCCTTTCAATGAAACTTTTTCTTCTTTGTTGCCTATTTCCTAAAATTAGTATCTAAATAATCTTTTTATTTATTTATTTGTTTGTTTATTTATTTATTTTGGAGAGGCTTTTGCGATAGGGCGTGTGAGCTTGCCAGGAAGACAGAGAGAGAGCGAGAGACAGAAAGTGAGGAAGACAGAGAGAGAGAGAGAGACAGAAAGTGAAAAATCAGCCCCCATGGGGGATGCCCACGCCACAATCCCTTCTCCTCTATTCTCCTCTCAGACCTGGCGTGAATTTAAGCCACTGGGTCTGGGACTCAAACTGCAGTCAACTACATGGGAGTCCAGTGACAGTCATTATGCCAACGACTGGTCCCAGTATCTAAATCATCTTGAAAAAAAAAAAACATATCTCAACTGTTATGAGAAAATTAGAAAGTAGCTACATGTCAGATATGACCAAATGCTTTAATGATTTTACTTGTGACAGCATTAGTATTCTTTTTTAAAAAACCTATTTTGTAGATAAGCTTTTAATTTTGGAATAATTTGAAGTTCACAGAAAAGCTGTAGGAATAGTACAGAGAATTTCCACATACCCCTTTCACCTAGTTTCAGTTTCCTCTAAGAGTAATATCTTTTTTTTTTTTTTTGAGAGGTTTTTGGGGTTTTTTTTGCTATAGGATGCGTGCACTCGCCAGACAGAGAGAGACAGAGAGACAGAAAGCGAGAAATCACCCCCCAGCGGGGATGGCCACGCCACAATCCCTTCTCCTCCATTCTCTGGGATCCTTTGCACTCACGCACATGTGCCCGGCGTGAGTTTAAGCCACCGAGTCCAGGACTCAAACCGCGGTCAACTACGCGGGAGTCCAGCGACATAGCCATTATGCTAACTGCTGGTCCCTAAGAGTAATACCTTACATTATTGTGGTACGTTTGTCAAAACTAAAAACCAACATCAGTACGGTGGTATTAAGTAAACCCTAGACTTTATTTAGCTTTCACCAGTTTCTCCCATTAATGTGGGAAATCTGTTCCAGGATCCAATCCAGGATACACCACATGATATTTTCTCAGCATATCTTAGTTGATGATAGTTGCTAATCTTCTCTTGTTTCTCATGATGCTAATCATCCTGAGAAGTACTGCTCAGGTATTCTGTAGAATGAACCTTGATGTGTTTTGTCTAGCATTTTTCTCATACTTTTGACTGAGGTTACAAGTTTATGAAAAGAATACCACAAAGGTGAAGTGTCCTTCTCTTCACAGTGTACCATGATAGCTATGCAGCATCGCTGAAGGTGTTTTGATCACCTGGCCAGTGTTTTCCATGATCCTCCACTGTCATGTGCTTACTAGGCTGAGAATTCTCCTCATACTTTCTTTTGCCCCAAGAAGAGGCTATGGTCTGCTTCATTTTCTTCATCAAATTCTCTATGAACACCCTAAAATATTAATTTTCTCCAAGTATCCCCATTTTCCCCTCATTTCTTGACAAGATATTATGGAGATCCTGGTAGGTAGTTGGCAGAAGGCCTAAAATATAAGGCAAGCTATTCTTTAGTGCCAGCTTTGGGTTCTGACACAACCGCACCACCTTGTTCATGAGCTTCTAGCACTTCTACCATCTTCTTGTCCACAGTCCCCAGCAGGTAGGGGCGGAAGTGGTGATGGTGGTGCAGCTAGAAGGCATCCTTCATGAGCCCAATCAGGCTGCCCAAGCCTAAGCTCCCAGAGCTCCACAACCACCAACCCCAGAGCTCTTTTTCATGTCACCAGCCATGGCCCAGGGAGGGTTGGGGACCCAGCCAGGTCTGCTGCCTCCCCTTGGGAGAGAGCAAAGGAAGAAGCAACAGCATTAGTATTCTAAATAAAGTAATTGTGAAGATGTATTTCCTCCCTGATGGTTAACAAGTCAGAAGATTGAAAACCAGTAACCATAAAACAGTAATACTAATGAATTACTCTATCTAGAGGATGAAAAAGAGCTGTGTGAAATAAAGCAAATATTGAGCAAGCAGAACTCTTTAAATAGGTATAAATTAACTTAACAATCAAATTCAACAGTAAATGAAATGCAGTTATGACACTGGGAATAAAAACATGAAGTTTTGGATGAGACAGGGAAGAACAATGCACTCACACTTTTTCATATAACCATTCATTGTCCATACATACACAGGAGCGCATGAATTGGCAAAAAACAACCTTTGCACCGCCCCCCCCCCCAATATATGTGTGCAACTCCCAGCTTAGAGCTGCTCCATCCATACCCAAGGCCTGACTCTATGGCCTGGCCCCCCTGCCACTTTCCCATGACATTCACACTTCACACATGCCCCTCCTCTTCTTCCTACCTTCCACTCCCTGACTATGTTTCCTTAAATACCTTCAGAATATAGGGAATCCCAGGAGGTCTTCAGTTCTGTAGACTTCACTACCTTTATGCCAGGATATGGACAAGGAACAGAAAAGGGAAAACAATGAGGGATTCAAACTGGGCAGAGTGCTTCTGATTACAGAAAGGATAGAAACTGGGAATTCCTGCAGCCATCCCAGCCCAATCCAGAATACCTGCAAGGCAGAGGTCTGGATGGTTTGGAGGGCCCCAGTTATAACCTGGATCATATTTTCAATACAGGGCACAGGAGACAACTGGCCACAACTGTCGAAGACCAACTGCGATAAGAGAAAGGGTTTCTGCCTTGGGGCCTGTGAGAAAAGAGTCAGGAGAGGTGATGGGGCTAGATATCAGTTTACATTCCCACCCTCTGGCTCTTGACTGCCTGCCCACCTCTACACATGCCACCCAACACCTCACTTGTAGGATGTTGGCCACAAAAGAGGTTATCTCTTCTTCCAGGATAGAAACGAGGTTCTGACAAATCATGTAGTGGACCAGGCGGGCAAGCTTTCCCAGCTGCATCAGCCAGGCCTCTGCTAGCTTCAGCTTCTGCTCAAGCTGCTGGCGCAGTACTCTCTGGAGGTATATGGAGCCTTGGCCTGTCCTGATCCTGTTGCAGTTTTGCACTCGCTCCTGCAGGCCCTGCTGCATGTGGTATGTGTCCTCATGAATCTGTTGACATAAGGGTGGAAACTCATCGGAGATAGGCAGACCTAGTAGTCAGCAGATTCTCAAATCTTGGGCCCTGGAACCTAGAATCTAGATCCTAGACATGTACATGGAGGATTCCACAGTCCTCCAGTTCAGCTAAAATTAAAAATCCTGAAAGGCCGGTATTGTGGCCTGGTGGTTAAGGCAGCTGGATCCCATGTGGTTGATGGTGCAGTTTGAGTCCAGGACCTGATGGCTTGAGGAACATGCTGGGTGCATGTGTGTACCTGTCCAAAATCCCAAAAGGAGGGAGAGATGGAGGAGAAGGATTGCAGGGAGACCATCCCCATGCAGGTTTCTTTCTCACTTTCTCTCTTTGTGTCTCCTGGCAAGCATACATGTCTGCTAGCCAATCAATCAATCGATGAATCAATTTAAAAAATTAAAAAACTCTGACAATACTAGGTGTTAATATGTATGGCAACTGAAAATTTACATTTTTTTAAAAAGTATATGTCAGGGCCAGCAGGTGGCATGGTGGTTAAGGGCGTTGGACATCCACATAGCCAACTGTGGTTCAAGTCCCAGATCTGGTGGCTTGCTTTCTCATTTGTCTTTTCTCTCACTCTCTCTCTCTTACTCTCACTCTCTTTCTCTCTCTCCCTCTCTGGTCAAATTAAAAAATAAATAAAGTTAAATAGGATAATTCTTTTTTTAAAAAAATGTATATGTACCAGTCTCCCTTGTAGCTAAGTGACCTATTTATTTATTTATTTATTTATTTATTTATTTATTTATTCATGAATGAGAGAGAGAAAGAGAACAGGACAGCACCCCCAGCAGGGTGCTGACACAAGGATCCATTCCCAGCTCCAGCTAGCCCTGGACCAAGGGCACACAAGTGCCAGGGATACTCGGGGAAGCCTCTGAATGTGAACTGGGACCCTGAAAGCTTCCCATGTGGGTTAGCCTTGCAGATTGTGGTGTTTTACCACCGTGCCACCAACTAGGCCCCAGGAAACCTACATTGTTGATGGAAATATAAACAGATACAGCTACTCTAGAAAACTGGCACAGTTTTCTGGTAAACCACACATCTTCCAGCAATCCAACTATTGAAATACATACCCCAAAGAAATAAGTGTTTATGTCCACCAAAAGGTACGTGAAAGAATGTTTATAGCAGCATTATTCATCATAGTGAAAAACTGGAACCAACTCAAATGTCCATCAATAAGAGAAGGAATATTTAAATTGTGGTACAGGGCCAGCTCATGGTGTGGTGGTGAAAATGCTGGATACCCCAGGATGACTGTGTGGTTTGTGTCCCAGACCCAGAGGGTTAAAAAACATGCTGGTCATGTGTAATTCCAAGAGGAGAATGGAGGGAAGGGGTTTGTACTATGGCCATCCTCCCAGGGGGTGCTTTCTCACTTCCTTTCTCTCTGTCTTTCTTCAGTGAGTGCAGACAACCTATAGCAAAATTAAAATAAATAAATTATAGAGTGTATATATATTCAGTAAAATACTACATAACAATGCAAGAAGACTGAACCACGGCTACCTAGAATATTATGGAGAAATCTCACATACTGTTAAGTGTCTTGATCTGGGGGTACACACAAATGCAAAAAATTCAATATAGACTTAAAGTATGTCTACTCAATTGGATGTAAATTACACCTTAATATATAAAAAAATTAACTACTGATTTTCAAAAAGTAACAACTATTTTTGTATCATAAAAAAATGAAGGTAAAAGACCAGCAGATGGCAAAGTGGTTATGTCTTTCACGTGCCTTTTGGTGGACATAAACACTTATTTCTTTGGGGTATGTATTCCACATGGCTGGCTGCGGTTCAAGAACTGGACCTGGTGGCTTCAAAATCATGCTGGATATGTGTGCATATGTGCCCAAGATCCTGGAAGGAGAATAGAAGATGAGGGATTGTGGAATGGGCACCCACCCTGGGGGATGATTTCTTTCTTTTTTTTTTTAAAAAAAGAATTACTTTTTAATTTAATTTTATTTATTCATTCATTTATTCTTAATTTGACCAGAGAAAGATAGAGAGAGAGGGAAAGTGAGAAAGCAAGCCACTAGGTCTGGGACTCAAATTGTGCTCAGCCACGTGGGAGTGTCCAGCACCGTAGCAACTATGCCACCTGCTGCCACCCTGCCCCCCATTATTTCTCACTTTCCCTCTCACTGGGACTGTCTCTCTCTCTCCGTGAGCACATGTACCCTAAGGGAAAAAAAAGGTGGGATTTTGGAACCACGAGGTAAAAAAAGGTTATGGAGCAACTGGCCTCATCTCCTGCCCTGTCCAGTGTGGAACAAGGGCAGCTCTAGCATCTGTGGTCTGGAGGCTATGGAATGTGGCTTCCTTTTGCTCCTATGCCATGGCTCTAAGTTGCCCCCTTTTCACTCCCACACCACAGCTCCGTGTCACCCCCTTTTCATGGCTACACTATGGCTCCATGTTGTCGCTTCTCACTTCTACACCATTGTCATTCCTTTTCACTTCACACTAGGGCTCCATGCCACTTCCTTTTCACTCCCACACCTGGCTCTATGATCCTGACCCTGCTAATTCCATTGGTCTCTTCTCCCTATGAATTTTCTCTTCAGTCAATCTTCTAAAACACACAGAGAAGGTATCACTGAAGGGCCCAGTCCATACAAACTCATACAACAAGCAGAGGGTCCCTTAAGATCAAAGCCTTAAACTCTGGGAAACTGTTACTGACCATCTTTGAACAATGCCCTTCAGGGTTTCCGGGATACATTGGTGAACAAAACAAAGATTGCCACTTTTGTAGAGGTTACATTCTATCACAGGGAAGTAGTCAAAAGACATAAATAAGTAAATTATGTGGTATTTGAAAAAGTGAGAGAGAACATAGGGGAAAAAAAAAAAGGCAAATATAGAGTAGGATAAGGAGAATAGGTAGCTCCAGGAGGGAGAGGGATTTTACTATTAAATCTTTGTGAAAATATTTTTCACTATAGATATTTAAAATATTTACTATTTTGACCAAGAGCAATCCATAAAAGCCACTGCTTCCATTTTGGAGCAGAAATTGCTTGAGGTCCAGGCCATCTTTCAGGCTTTAGAATTCTGTCTTTAGTGAGTAGTCTCTTCTGATGAGGTTTAGAACAGCAAACACAAGTCGACTCCTGGCTCAAGCCCCACAGAGTATGCTTCCTTCATGTTGGTTCTCATTTTCTAACATCTGAGTGGCCACCATCTCAGAACCTATATACACATGGCGATTAGCCCAAAAATGGTGTGAATGCTCAGCTTTGACAACAAAGCAGGATAAGAGGCCATGGTCAAGAAGAGGCAGATACACAGCAGGGCCTCCAGGGCCCTCAGCAGGTGGTGTGCAGCAAAGATGCCAAGTGGGCGTCCTAAGGAAGAACTCCACTCTGGATGCTTCTACCAGCCACAAGGCCTAGTGAAGGGTCAGACAGGTTCCAGGATAAGCCCAGCAGCATGAAAAGGCAGAATTCCAATTCTCCAATTCCCTACTGCCCTCGCTCCCTAACGTCGGCGCATACAACGGACAAAATAAACCACCCTGTAATGTTCCTTCTCCCTGCTCCTACGCCATGCTTAATCCTTAGGGAAAGGCTGAGTCTAAGCCTCTACCCATCTGTTATGGATCCCTCCTTCCTAGAGCAGAGGCTGTGGTTACCTGGAAAGACAATTAACTCTAACTTACCTGCAGAGTTCAGATCATAAAGGGGATTCTTAGGAGGAACTTAACTAAGAGGAGCCTGCAATTCTGAGCATTTTAGCTTGGAAAAAAGTTTCACAATAAACTGGAGTTTCTTACCAGCTGAAGAATGGATGTACAGAGCTTCAGGCAGTGACGCAGTCGCTGTAGAGCCTTGTAGTTCTCTGTGGCTAGGGCCCTCCTCAGATCCAGCAGCTCATAGCACCGATCTGGCTCCTGGGGCAGCCAGGGCACAGAGCGTAGCTCCTGTAGAAGCCTGGGACCAAGGGCTGGGCTGGTCAGAGCTGGCATTCCGGCCCTCCCTTCCATGGGTACTTTTGACCTCTTCCCAGCCCAGCTCACTTGAGACCAGCTAGTGATAGTAATACTCCTAGTGATGAACAGCGACAGCTTCTACCCTTGAGAGTTCTTTTGAAGAGTTCAAGCCCAGGAAATTGCTGGCCCAGGCACCCTTCTCCCTTAGGAAAGGGTCAGGTATGTGCAAATGTTTTTCCTAATGACCTCTCTTACCAGGAAAGAGGGTCAAAGGACCCCTAGGTTCTGGAACAGGACGGACTGCAGTGGCTTCATCCTCGGAATAGGAAAGCTGAGGGTCCTAAAAGTCTAGGTCAGGGATCTCCAACCTCTCGATTGGTGCTGGTGCATGACCTGTTGCCTCACCCTCAGCTGGGCAGTGCTGGGTGGGCAGCAGGCAGACGGGGAAAGCTTCATCTGTGTTTGTATCTACTCCCTTTCGCTTGCATTGCTGCCTGGGCTCTGCCTCCTGTTGGATCAGCAGTGGTCTTGGATTCTCATGGAAGCCCAAACCCTATTGTTGTGTGACTGTTTTCATTGTATATTGCAATGCGATAGTGGTGGAATTGGGGTGCACAGAAGATGTGGTGCACTTGGATCATCCTAGGACCAACCCTACCTCCCTCGCCTCCCCAGGCAGGTCCCTCTTGCTGGGAAGGTTGGAAACCTCTGGCCTAGGTGCACAAATGAGTTTTGGTATCAAATATAATGAAGCTGCAACTTTTCTATGGACTGATCATCTCTAAATAAGCAAGAATTTCTGTTAATTCACTACTCCCCGCCCCAAGAGAATTGCATATTTCATAACACCTTTGAAACAGATGAAAGCCTTCCCCTATAATAGGCAGACAGAATGACTACAATGAGTGTCATTTATTCAGTGCCTACTAAGAAGAACTTTACAGTTGCAGTCTCATTTAATTCTCACTAAAGATGTACGGCAGGAATCTTTATCGCATTTACAGGTCAGGAAACTGAGACTCAGAATAAAGGCCCTTCCTAGTATTCAGGATCTAAATTCAACTCTGTGAAGACCTCCCAGCTCTGGATTACCCATGAGGGTTATCTAAATTGCCTAAAATGGAGGCTGCAAACTGGTAACCAAAAGATCAACTTCAGATGGAAAGGTTTTTTGTGTATATTATCAAAAGTTGGCCAGTACAGTGTTTTAATAAAAAACTGAGCCAACCAATTAAAATGAATAAATTTCACAATAGCATGCGGACTTCCAAGAAATTCTGAAAAATAATGTGGCTGATCACTCTGGACCTATATTCCCAACCCTCTTTAGATGTAACATCCAGATGGCGGTTCCCATCCTCCCTTATGTTCACTTAACTCACTCCATTCCTTTAGTACTT